CCCCTGACCAGGGATGGGCAAACGTTTTCCATAAAGTTCCAGGTGGCTAGCGCGTGAGGCTCTGTGGGCACGCGGTCACCGTCAGCCGCTCGGCTCTGCCCACGGCACGGCAGCAGCCACGATCGACGCGGGAAGAACGAGCACCGCTGTGTCCTGATAAAACTTTATCTGTGTTTCCAGACATATCTGTGTTAAAAAACCCCTTTATTTATGGACACAGAAATTTGAATTTCGTATCATTTCCATGTGTCACAAATATTATTCTTCTTTTGAATTTTTTAATCATTTAAAAATGTAACAACCGTTCCTAGCTCATAGGCCATTCACAAACAGACAATTTTTTTTGCCTGAGGGCTACAGTTTGCAGGCACCTGCCCTGCACTGTCCCCAGGAGGCACTCCTACGGCCGGGTACACCGTGAGTGGCAGAGAAACCAAAAGGGGACATAAAGACACGGAGGCATGTGCCACAGGTCCTCCTTTGCCCGGCCGATGGCAAAGCATGTGAAATGATGACGTGGGGGTCTGCCCTCAAGGCTCTTGCCAGGGAATATAACTCAGATCTCTGCTATCCACACCTTATCAGAAACCCAGCAACAAACCCCTCAACGACGGCGATGGTAACAATACGTGTGGATCACAGCCTGACGGACATGCAGCGTGCCCATTCTTACACACGATCTAACTTTCTCCCTCAAATAAGCCAGAACTGTGAGTGCTGCACGCATGGAAGGTTCTACAGAATCTACCCTGATTCTGGGCTCTTGGTCCGCCCCCAGGAGCACCATGAGAAACCGCGGGTGTGAGTCGCCGTGGCACCTCCTGCAGAGACGCTGTCCGGGATGTCATCTACTCCGGGCAAAGAGTCCCCTTTGGGTGCAGCCCAGTATCAGGAAAAGCTGGACATCTTAAAAACTGGTTTCATTTTAGAAACAATGTCATTTCCTTGTCTGATTTGGCTTCAGGAAGCTCAGAGTCAAATATACTTCTATCAGTTGTAAAGTACGTCACAAAGTCATCAGCAGCGAAGATTTATTGAGCATGTAGTACGTGCTGAGCACTGTTCACGTGATCCTCACACAGCCCTGTGACGTAGGCAAGACATTCTCCTTATGACACCAGGCTGAATAGCGACCCCCAGAGGTGTCCACATTAGTCCCCGGAACCTGTGAATGTTACCTTACGTGGCGAAAGGGACTTTGCAGATGCAATTGAGGATCTTGCACTGGGGATATTGTGCTGACCACAGCGTCCTTGTAGAAAGGAAGCAGAGGGAGGTCTGACACGGAACAAGAAAGCAGCGTGACGAGGACGCCGTGCTGCTGGCTTTGGTGAGGGAGGAAGAGGCCTTGAGCCGGGGATGCAGCTGTACGCGCTGGAGAAGACAAGGAAACAGATTCTCTCCTAGAGCTTCCGAGGGAGCCGGGCGCTGCCAACGCCTTGACCCCGTGAGACCGATTTCAGACTCCTAACCTCCAGAGCTCTGAGAGAATAAATGTGTGTAATTTTAAACCACCAAACAGAAAGTGTTTCCAACGGCAAAAGGAACTAATACACCTGCTTTACCAACAAGGGCGGGAGACCCGCACAGTATTGCCCCAGGGTCTGAGTGAGGGTTGCCGATGGCAGGTCCCAAGTCCTTATCCTTCACGCTGCCCCATCTGTCGCGTGTGTCCTGACCTCTGTGGCCTTAGGATTCCCCTTAGTCAGTTACGACGGTTCATCGATTATCACAGACTGGAGCGGGGGGGAGGGGAGGTGGATGCTAAACAATCCGCATGGATTTCTCCCAGTCCTGGCTGCTGGGAGACTGAAGCCAGGTGCCAGCAGGTTGGGGGGTGCTCTTGGGGAGGACTCACTTCCTGGCTTACAGTGGCCACCTACTTATTGTGTCCTCTCATGGTGGAAGGAGAGGGAGACCTCTGGCCTCTCCTCATAAGGGCACTAATCCCATTTATGAAGGCTCCACCCTCATGACCTAATCACCTCCTAAAGGCCTCACCTCCTGATACTATCACATGGGCATTAGGGTTTAACAGCAATTTTGAGGGGACACAAACATTCAGTCCGTAACACCTTGCCTTACCCTTCCCTTCACCCTGCTTCTCCTGCTACTGCCTGTTTCCTTTCCCGCCATGTGTGCATCTGCAATCGGCCTCACATCTGTGTGTGTGAGAGGCAGCAGGCAGTCTATACATGGGTGGGCATTTGTGGCATGTGCTGGGGTCCCTGGGAATTGTCCTGTGACTCGGTGAAGGCAAAGCCCCTGACCACATGTGTTCCCTATTTTGCTTTGGTGAAGACTACACTCTCTTCTTTCCTGAAGCAGGAACGGTTGGCCGGGGCAGGACTTCTGCTTTTGCAGAAAATTATGCCCACTTCCTGGTTGGTATTCAGGGCCCTCTAGCTGCTTATGAGGTTCCTTCTTTCTCCCAAGGATATTAAGGCTGGCGAAATGATGCCAGCTCAGACTCTCATTGTTTCTTTCCTGAGTTATTGCTCCTCCTGGTTACAAACCTTGTTTCCAGCCTCACATAGCTCGTGATCCGATACCCAGGCTCTATTCACGACCTGAAGGATCTTTCCAAAATGCAGCCGCACTCGTTGCCAAAGGCAGGCAGCCCACCCTGTCTAGGGCAGCCCACCCTCTCTGGGGCTCTGCCCATACTTCCCCCCTCATCCCTCACCCCCATGTTTCCAGCCCTTCCGCAGCTCCCCAAACTCTGTGCCTCGCCACATCTCCCTCCTTTCCTGCATGCCACGCTCTCCGCCCGAGCTCTCCTCCCCTCGCCCCTCCTTCTTTCCGCCTTGCCTGCTTACAGAACTCTAGAGCAGGGAGATTTGGAGCGTGGGCTCTGGAGTCAGGCAGGCTGGGGATCCATTTGTTTCAATTCCATACGTATAACACTTACTCAATGCTTTGCTTTCTCTGTGCCTCCAGGGATGTAATTCTGCCACTATTAGCTGTGTGGCCTTGGAAAAGTTACCTAATATCTCTAACCTTCAGTTTTACACATCTGCAACTTAAGAATGATGTTTATAAATCATTTAGTGTGGTACCTGCCACGAACAGGAGATGTTATCATTACTATTTTTATTAGTCTTTAAGCTTCAACTTAGTCTGGGCGACTCCTTCTCCCACAGATTTAGATGCCAACCTCAGCCTCTTCTGCATGTCCCCTGGTACACAACGCCTGCCTCTACTACAGCCCTTCTCACAAGGCTCTTGCCCTGTTGTGTCATTGTCTGACCCATCCCCTGCTCTTGGACAAGGACAGCATCTCCCGTGTTCCCTTATTCCCAGTGCTCGGAGCAGGCTTGTGTGGGACGTTGGCTGACTCCGTGGAGCAGCTCTCCTTGAAGCAAAGAGCCGGTCCCAGATGGGTGGGCAACGTCTCTGCTCTTTCCCTGATGGGCCCAGTCCTTGTGCCTCTGCTGGCTGTGACTCGAAAGGATGTGCCATGCTTGGCTGCAGGCTGAGGCTGAGTCTGGAGGCAAACCAGCCCTGGCAGCCTTTTGTGCGAGGATGAATTGGAAACACAAACCCCGAGCATTCATCACAAGTCTTGCTTCCACCCTGCACCTAAAATGAATGGGAGGCCAGCGGGGCAGTGTCCCGTCCCCATGGGAAAGGGTGAGTAATGAGAGTGGCACTTCCAGCACTGGCCATCCATACTCCTTAGTTATCTTTTACTTTTTTTTGTACACCTCAATGTTCCTTCTTTTTAAAGGAATAAAGCCAAGTTGGGCAAACGGCCCTGGTGACCAGCTCCTTGGGTGGCAGTTGTGGGGATCGGCTGTTTGCTCAAGTGCCACGTCTTCATTACGCCCCAGCCACTCAGATGCGCCATTTGCAGCTCCTTCCCGCCTGCGGCAGTTCAAACAGCATCTCCCCATCTCCCTCCCAATGGCGGATTTCACAGCCAGTCCCTCTGACCTCCACTCAAGACGTGACGGAGCCCGTACTCCTCTCTTCCCACTCAGGAAAGTGTCCCGCCCACACAGATCTGTGTGTTGAAGTCCCACCCTCCATACGTCGGAGTGTAGCTGTGGTTGGAGACGGCGTCTTTAAAGAGATGATTAAGTTAAAGCGAGGCTGTGATATGGGCCCTAATCTGGTATGACGGGTGTCCTTGTAAGAGGGGAGGTGAGGACACAGATGCAGGCAGAGGGACGACCGTGTGAGGACACGGGAGAAGTCAGCTACCTGTGGGCAAGACGAGAGGCCACAGGAGAACCCAACCCTGCCAACACCTTGGTGTCGGATTTCCCACCTCCAGAACCGTGTGAAAATGCACCTCCCCTGCTCAAGCCACCTGTTCTGTGGCACCTTGTCATGGCGGCCCAAGCGAGCTGACGCACGCCTCGCGGGGGTGGCTCTGACCTGCTTGCTCAGTTCGCTGTTCTCTCTCCTGAATTGCAGCTTCCTGTCGGCACAGCGGCTTGCCCACTGGGTCACAGCCACGTCCCACGCACTTTTGTCACTTCCCACGCTAGAGCAAACCCTGAGCGACACCGCTGCAACAGCAGCTCTGGCAGTGTCCGAAGGAGGACAGGAAGCCTCTCTCTGGGCAGAAGTGATCTTTTCACTCCACGTGCAAGCTACATCCACCGGACAGGCAGCCCAGGCGCACGGTCTGGGGGAGCCCCTTATCGGAGGCATCTTTTCCTAATGTTCGACTGGTGAGGTTTCACGATTTGGTAGATGCATCGATCATTTTGTTCTTTTTGGGCTCTGTGGTGTTAGTGAATTGCTGCATTTAGACTTAATTTCTCTTCCTTGTCCTCTGTCACTCTCCCTCCTGCCCACCTCCAGCCGCGTCCTCCACCCCCACTGCTCCCAAGGGCTCCCATGGCCCTCCCAGACCTGCTGCAGGTGGAGAAAGTGTTGGGCTGCTGGTCCCCTCTCCCCACCCCCACCCCGACTAGGCGCTTAAGCAGCTCACATCTGTGGGCCGTAATTTTCCCACAAACACATATGGATGTTTCAAAAGCCCTTACCGCAACTCTGGTAGAGCACTTCCAAGCCCCCCTCCCTGCAGGCCAGGTGTGTGGGCCAGGCTTCCCTGCTGCTGCCACCGCTGCTGCCATCGCTGCTGCTGGGAGAAATCAGAGTCCAGATGAGGAGGACAGCTGTGAAACCCTTCATGGCGAGGCCTGTGTGGGACCAACAGAAAAATAACAGGCCCAATAAAAAGATCTCAAGGCCCTTCCTCTCCTCTCTTGAAGGGGGTGGCATGTTCGGTTTCACTTCTCAAATTTTAGGCTCCTAGGGAACCACGGTCAGAAGCAGAATGCAGTGAGCAGAGGCATTTACTGCTCCCCTAGCCTTGAATCGGCAGGGTCGGGTCTGAGACAGTTTGCGTGCTGACTTTCTGCTTTCGCAGGGAGAGGGCCAGCAAGTGACGCATGAACTTATGCCGGGGCCCCCAAGAACAGCCCCACTTTGAGCCCCCACCCCCAGGTGGAGCCGTAAACTCTGCAAAGACAAACCACAGGCCACCACGTGTTTTCCATCAGCAGCCCCTGTGTTCTGCAAGCTTCTGACACGGGCCAAGGACCAGGGACCTGGCTGGGGCCAGCAGACAGCGTTTGGCTTTTTGAGGATGGCAGAATGACATTTGGAATCTGGAATGAGGCTTTTGAACCGTTGTCATTTTTCTCTCCTCTGGTTTTGGCCCCACTCTTAGGGCTGGGCTGCCAGCAGTGAATTGTCCCGCTGAGAGCAAGACCTTGTTTTGGGAGCAGCAGATGTGGTCTCTGAAGATGAGATGGAGGAAACAGCCCTGGGAAGTGAGCCCTGCTGTATTTCCGGGTTTGGCCTGGTGCAAGGAGCAGGGAGGGGGAGTAGGCAGGGCCTCCCTGTAAGGCTGGTCTAATGGTTTTGGTAGTTGGTGGTCATCGATGTCACATCCCACTTTGTTTTCAAAACCAAGATTTGCCCTTTTTCCATGAATCTCTGTTGTCCAGCTTCAGGACAGCAGGTCCCTCAACCCCATCCCCACCTGCCTCCAGTCCACCTCAGTCTGAGAGAACCAGAGTCAGGGCCAAGACCAGCAGATTTCGGGAGCCACAGAGAGAACTATTTCCCCTGGGAGGAAAAGCATTTCTCTGAGTGCACTAGGTAAATTGGCTATTTCCGCCAGTGGCTAAATAAGAATTAGAGTCACCTCACATTAATTACCAGCGGAGATAAACGAATACGTTGAATTAATTGGTGGATAGTTTGGATTCTTGAGAGACCTCAGGGAGTCCTCATTTGGGGAAGGGACATGTCTGGATTGATTTTTTAGGTACCCATCTGCAAATAAGTTCAGTGATGTTGGCTTTCAACAGTGGTTCTCAAAGTGTGGTCTGGGGGGATGACAGCAGCAGCTTCCCCTGGGAGCTTGTCCGAAATGCAAATCCCGGGCTGCACACAGACCTACGGAATGAGAAAGGCTGGGGCTGGGGCCCGGCATTCTGAGTTTCAATAAGCCCTCCAGGTGAGGCTCAAGTTTAAGAACCGCTGGCTTTTATAGAACACAAGGTGGAAGTCGAGCCCCGAGGGACAGGGGGGTAGTTGCTCTAAGAGGAGACTTGGCAGCTCCACTTGGCCCCCGGGAGTAGAAGGCAGCAGTGCTGGGAGCAAGAGCTCAGGAGGGTGGGGTCCAGTGCTCATGGCAAGAGCCCTGGCCCTGCTGGAAGTGTTGTAATCACTGGCAGGTCCAGGACGAAACAGAGGCTTTCCCTTGGGACATCTCAGTGCACCAGGAGTTGCTGAGAGAGCTCTGAACCTGTGAGCAAGGACAGCAATTGTGGGTAAGGCCTTCCTTCCCTGCAGAGCACAGTGTGACCAGCATCCCAGAGAAACCCAGGAGCCCAGAGCAGGGAACAGACATCCTGGCGGACAGCTGTGGGCAGCTACAGCTACTCTGGCTGCCAGAACAGAAATGCCTTAGTCTGGGTGGCTTAAATGACAAACATTTATGTATCACAGTCTGGAGACTGGGAAGTCCAAGATCAAGGCTGCAGCAGACTCAAGGAGAGCTCTCTGGTTCAAAGATGAAGCCTTCTTGCTGTGTGCTCACATGGTGGGAGGGGCAAAGGGTCTCCCTGAAGCCTCTTTCATAAGGACACTAAGCCCGTTCGTGAGGGCTCCACCTTCATGACCTAATCATATCCCTAAGTCCCCATCTCCTAATGCCATCACCTTGAGGGTTAGAATTGCAACATATGAATTTGAGGGGGACACAAATATTCAGTACATTCTAGGAACCATGTCATTTGAGTACAGGGCTACAGATTTTTGTGGATCAAAGGCAATGAAAAGAGTCTTCATTCGGGGATTGCGTTGGCCTTCAGAAATATTCAGTATGGACCATTCAGAGACCTGGGACCCTGGAACCGTGGTTCTCAGCCTCGAGTGGACATCAGCACCAGCTGCAGGGCTCGTGAGCACACAGCATGGGCCGCTCCCCAGAGTGTGGGGACAGGGGCTGGAGAGCGTGTATTTCTAACATGCCGCTGATCTGGGGCACACTTTGAGAACCTCTGCTTTAGGTCACAGAACTTGGTCTGTTGCAGAATGTACAATTTTTAAAAAAATTTTATGAATCGAATGTTATTTTGTTATAAGACAGGTGACATTTTAGTTAACACAGCACACCCATATAGGAAAAAAGAGTAAGCCACTTTCTGTCAGGAGTTATGCTGACTTGCGCTGACCGAGAACAGGCTTTTACTGCAATTATCAGTTATGGCCCATCTAGTTCAGAAATTCATCCATAATGATGTCTTGAGGAGTTCTTTAAGTAGAAGCCTTAGAAAGACAACCAAAGCTTTCTTTGAGAAATGTCCTGTTCCCTAACTATAGAATAAAATCAAAAATCTGTTCATGATAGTTATTTACAATACGGTTATGCACAGGTAACGGTAACCAAGTGTCCCGCCGGGCTGTGATGCTGACTCCGCTGCCTCGGCAGGCCGTGGCTGGAGAAGCTGTGCTTCTGGGCTCGTCCAGACGTCCCTTCTACTCTTTGGACGACCGCTTTCCTCTGTGTCTCACGCTGCTCTCTTTTCATGGAGCTCTACTCGGGGACGGTGCCTTTCTTTTTTTGCAGGGCAAAAATGTCTTATCGGGATGGCTGTCCCTCAAACTGGTCTTAAGAAGAAAATTCTGTGTTTAAGCAGAGATTTTAAGAATCAATGTGAGTCTCTGAGGGCAGGAGCCCAATTACATAAGGAAGTGAGGGTGAAGCCGCTCCACGGGGGAAAACCCCATGCTCCAGACAGTGGGGGGAGAGAGGAGAAAGGAGTGGAGGGAAGGAGGGGGAGGGGGAGGGGGTGAAAGGCTGGCGTGGAGTAGAGGGGGCAGCTTGTCTGCAGGTGGGACAAGGCAAAGGTCCCTTAAGAACAGATGCTGCATTGCATTGTGCAGTTGCAATGTGACAGCCCCTCCACTCCGTGACCCACAGAAGCGCCGTGGGTACTTGTACAGCTGGAAATGCTGTGTGTGTGCACACGCGTGTGTGCGTGTGGGTGAGAAGGGAAGAGCTTCGTGTTTGCACCAGTGTGGTGTGCAACAGAGGTGGGGCCATGGGAAGGCAGCCCCCTGGGGACAGTGACTCAACCTTGGGGTGGGCATCACACGTCCCCAGGACATGGAATGAGGTTCAGACCAATTTTATCTACATTTCACGTGTCAGCAGGTGGCAGACAGCCCTGAGTAGTCTTTAACACTAAACATTACAATGGCAAATGTGCCTTCCTCATCATCTGTGTTCAACTGTGGCTGCTCCTTCTCACTCCCCTCAGAGATTTAGCGTGTTAGGCAAAATTTTTCCTTTATGTAGCGCTGCCACTTTGCTCCTTTCCTCTGTGGCCTGCAGGGGGAAGAGACAGGTTTGAGGTCACCTTGCTTCTGCCTTCCAGCCTGAGTGTCACTGAAAACTGCCCTCGCGCTGTGTGGAAGTCAGGAGGCCGCGCTACTTCCTGCGTATCACCATTGAGCAGCCCCCGGGCTGACTGCTGAGGTTCACTCTTCAGCTATTTCCACACTCTCTGTCATGTGGGCTACATGAATATCTTATAGAACTGGTGCCAGCCTACTGGGCTTCTTGGTAGAATCTTGCCTGCAATCTCTCAGACTGCTGGAAGACTCACCACACAAAATGTGTGAGATGCTCACAAAGTCCCCTGGGCTCTTGACATCACATATTATGTATACGTATTAGATAGAAATGTACGGAAACCAGCTGTCTACTTTCTACACAACTGGGGAAAAACCGTCTGTCTACCTGCTTCAGATGCATTCAACTCCTTTATTCAATAAATATTTATTAAGCACCTCTGACATGCCAGCTACAGTTCCAAGGACCAGGAATACAGGGAAGCAAAGTGCTTGTTCTCATACAGCTTACCTTCTAGTGGGAAGAGACAATACATTTTTTAGTACTTTTTTTTTTTAAGAGATGGGGTCATGCTCTGTCGCCCAGGCTGGAGTGCAGGGCCATGATCTCAGCTCACTGCAGCCTCTAACTCCTGGGCTCAAGCCATCCTCCTGCCTCAGCCTCCCGAGTCTCTGGGATTACAGCCATGAGCCACCATGCCTGGCATATTGTTTAATAAGAGAGAACAGACTTTGCTTCTTGAAAAACGTCTTGGGTTTCACATAGAAAATTGGACTAGGCTCTCTGAAATATTTTCATCTGGCTGTTGCGTGTACACAATAACCATTTTTTTCTTTAATTTGCCCCAGACTGGTGGCTCAGCAGGGTTTTCCAATGACTGTTTGCTCCAGTGGACAAACTGTAGCAGACCTATCTGAAATACCACCCTCCCCTCCTTTCCTAGTGTCCCCAACTTGATATCATCATTAATGCTCCGTTGTTCTGGGGAGGTAATATGGAAAGTACTCGGTTTCTGAGTGGGTCTACAAACTCTACGACAAGCTGCAAACAGAAGTGCTTTTAGTTCGTTAACACGTATGCTGGGCCAGGGGAGAAGTGGGCAGTATAGATCAGTCTGATCGGTTTTCCGATGATGAAAAGGACAACAAATGGCAGCATCTGATGAAGGTGAAAGAAATTGCCCTGGGCTTCAGGGAGGGGAGCTCTCCAGCACTAGAGCACTGATGTTCATGGCATCAAAATTTGCTACGGCATGGGA